TGCTAATTAGGCTCATGTTCTTGTACTTCTATTTCATCCTTTTAATTTTCTAGGATTGTAATTTTAAAAGGGGATCCAATATTGTCCCCTTTCCTCCTAATGTTGCAAAAGTGTTTCCCTATAGTATCCATCTTCACAAGGGTCACAAAGAAAATGAGTATTTGGTAAAATATACAAGCTGTTAAAATTATGTTAAAATCTTGATTAAGATTTGCTTATCTTTAAAACAATTTTTCTTTACTTACGTGTATTCCTTTCCCCTTGGACTTTTTTGTCCTATTTCTGTTTCCATTTAAGTTATATAGGGGAGTTCTGTTGGTGTATAGTCTATAGGGAATTGTGCTGCTAACATAAAGGTTGGCGCCTTTTGGAGCCTCTTTGTTGGTTCAGATCCACCAACAGCTCCAAGTGGGAAAGTAGGGTGTTTGCCTCCCGGGAGACCACTGACAGCCTCCAAAAACTTGCTGGAGGGTCAACTGTGAGTCAGTTCCTGTTTGGTGGCAATGAAGGAGTAAGAGCATGCGCTTTACACAAATGAGGTAGTGGCTTTATGAAGTTTACCCACTGAATGAATTGATGCAACAAATTAAAGGGAAGGAGCACCTGAATAAAAACCAGCAGGAAGGTGAGAAGGACTGTTGAGTGAAAAGCACAGGCACATATGAGCATGAAAGAAAACAGATTCATCTTCTCAGTAGGGCTGTCTGGCTGTCAAGAGGCCAGATAAATGAAGCACTCCAGTTAGACATCCCAGGGCACCAGCAACAACTCTTTAAAGGTGCGTCCCGTATAGATCAGTCACTGTTGCTTTTGGCATGTAGCTTTCTTTCCCCCCTTTTTGGCAATAGCATGTAGCATTGTAGGTCGTCTTGACAAACTATTCTTTTCTCAGCCAAAACCAATAACTGAAGCTAGGGCAGAAGGATTCTGTTACCAAGGATTAAACTCTGAAGTAGGAACAGGAAGAAAATTATTAGAGCCAATTCAGCGCAGGGTTAAGCCCATCCTGAGAAGGCTATGCTGAGTCTCTCAACTATCTACGGGTATTCAGCATTTTCCTCTCAGTATATTTTAAAATATAGTTGCTATTTTCTTTCGTTATCAATATTAAATTGGGTCATAACTAGTAAATTCAGACGAATACCCTTTGCATGTTGTTGCTGCCAATTGCCATCGAGTCAAGCATGACTCATGGTGACCCCACGAACAAGACTTGAAGCCTTTCTATAACTATCATTGTTTCTCAAAGTTCATAGTGTTTCCAGAGGCAAGTTGTTTAGGAAGTGGATGCCACTCCTGCTTCCAGACCTGTCTTAAACTGGGAGATCCACCAAATGCTGCCCACCATGGGTAACCAATATGGCATGTGACACTCCAACAGCACAAGGTTCAGCATCACAGCAACCCCAGGTTACCTCAGTACAGCATACTGACAGAAGAGTGCTGTAACACTTAGAAGAACGTTCCTTCAAAATATAATAACAACCAAAATAATAATGACTTTTAAATACAAAGGCCCCTCTGAGGTCTTGTTGATTCTAAACAAGAGGCTTAAATAAAAACAACCAAAATAATATTTTAAATTCTAATGTCAGACAAAAAAAAAAACAAAATAAATTCTAATGTCATGTCAGAACTCTGACACTGTCTTAACCAAAATACCTATATGTTCTTTAATAATCCAAAAAGTTTTTTAACACACACAGATGTTTTTACTTCTAGATTTCTCCCGTCCACCCCTACCCCACATCGATCTGATATTTTTCAGAAACTAATCTTGGGCTCAAATGGCCTAGTCCATAGGGAGCTACACTGCAAAACCAAAGGTAGAGTCTCTCTGGGCGTTCAAATCTACCCGCAGCTCCATGGGACAATGATGGGAAGTCACCTCCCATGCAATTTACAGCCTCTGAAAACCTGCTGGGGGGCCAGCTATGAGTCGCTTCAGCTATGATTTGAGAACAGTGAGTTGGGGTTTTGTGACACTTTTACTAAGACTGTGAGGATAGTCGTAGCAGTTTATAAGCAATGCAAGGGATGGTAAAAAAAAGAAATACTGCGGCTTTGTTTACAATAGCAAGGAGTTGAAAACAACATAAATGCCCATCAACAAACGAATGGGTAGAGAAGCTGTGGTATATCAGCACAATGGAATACTATGCTGCATTGAAAAACAAGGAACTCATGCAATATTATTCAAAATGGGTGA